AAGAAGATAGAGTCAAGATAGATATATGTTGTAATAGAATGATTTATTCTACTGTTTTCGTTTTATTAAATTATTTCCCGTGGTCACTACAAGCAAAAATTTCAAAGTGTAACACGCGCTGATAGCTAACTTGCATATGACAACGCGCTGCGCACGAAATGCAGCGATTATCTATAAGAGTGTAATGTGGAAGGGATGCTTTAGCAACAATTTTAGTTAACTTTTCTTTCTCAAACATGTAATAACATGTCATTTTTATATTTATTTTGCGACTATGCACAACACAAGTGCGGTATAAACGATGCGTCATGCACCGCGACGCGTATAGTGTGACACTGATAATTCATTTTTAAAAGATGCGATTTCGGAACATAATAAAATCATATATGGTTGAATTCAGCGTAAAAAATGCTACAACTTTTGTCATTACAAAAATTTTGAAACTCGAAAAAATAATAACAAGGGGTGGGGGTAAATTAAAAAAATAACATTTTTTTTAAATTCAACTACACAGTTATAAAGCCTGTTACAAGCCATACAACTTCTATTTAAAACATTTTTTTGTATCTCCTACGGTTTTGGTAATAGTTACACACAAAGAAAAAAACCGTTTTTTTTCAAAGGGGTGTTTTACCCCTTAAATTTGAAATAGGGCCGCTATAAAAAAATACGTGTCTCCTCAAATTGTATGTTTTACGACATATTTCAAGGAGAATCAAATCGGGGGGGAACACTTGTGAACTAAGTATGATTGCCAAATATTAATGCTTTAAACGCAATTTTTAACGTCTGTTGAAACGTTATGGAAGACGTAAGTCTTTACAGGGTGTAAGGCGTTCTCTAGCTATCAGTTCCCTTACGGAAAATAAGTATTGAGTTCTCAATACTTAGTATTGGTCAATAGTAAATTGACTACTTGAATACTTTTTTTGGGAAATACTTAGTATTGAATACTTAGTATTTCCCCAAAAAAGTATTCAAGTAGTCAATTTACTATTGACCA